GACAGTGGCCCAGGGCGATGCGGACAACATCGTCAGGCTGCTGGACCTGGATCCCAGCCTGCTGACCAGGAAAGACTTTGTAACGGGCTTCACTGCTCTCCACTGGCTTGCCAAGCACGGCCACCATGAGAACTTCATCCAGGTCATCTCCCACGCCCAGAAGAAGGGCTATCCCGTCAACGTGAACATCCCCACGGCCAGCGGTGGGCTCACCCCCTTGCACCTGGCCGCCCTGCAGGGACACGAGCTGCTCATCAAAGTGCTGGTGGGAGCTTACGGGGCGGACACCAGCCGCAGGGACCACAACGGGCGCAAGGCTTGGCAGTACCTGAGGGCAGACACCTCCAGGGAGTTGAAGGAGTTGGCGGGGGCCTTGGAGGAGGACTTGGTCCAGCTGCGCTCTCACAACATCAACAACAACTGTAAGTCATCCAGTGAGGCCAGGGCAGGGCGGGACTGTGTGGACTCCGGGGCTGAGAGGAAAGCCCAGCGCTCCTGGAGCCTGTCAACCCTCCGGGATTTTGTCAGACAGAAATTTGCTTTCTTCCAAGAGCGCTGAAGCTCCCCTGGCCCATTCGCCTGCAAACCTGTGCTGAATAGCAGCTGGAAGAGCCTGCAGGGAGCTGGGAACTTGGTGAGGGCTGGCGTTTGAAATCCTGGCCACCCTGGGTCTCGCGTGGTCTTTTGGGGCTGTGCCGGTGTGAGTGTGTGTGGGGCAACCACGGCCATCGGGAGCACTGCCTGGGGGACAGCCCTTCCAAAAAACCACCTGTCCCCAGAGGAGGTTTTGCCCCCTGTCCCTGCTGATGGGGACTCCTTGCCCAAGAGCCCCATGGGGCTCACATGCCAGCCCGGCTGCGGGGAGCTGCTTCTCCAACACCCGGTGTGCCCGTGGGGGGATGCTGACCCACCATGGGAGGTGGTGTCCCGTGCTGGGGGCCGGGAGTGGATGTTTGGGCTGCCCGTCCCGGGCTGCTGGCAGACTTTGCCTGTGACTGTAGGTGGTTCACGCAACAACTCGGTGACTTGGTTCTCATGTAACATGAGGCCGTCGGCACTGCCCTGGCTCCCAGCAACGCTGTGAGGTTGGACTGGTCATGGCGCCTCGGGTGCCTGGATGGAGACACCGGCAGAATATAATTAAATATTTCACAACCACACTCTGAGATGCCAGAGGCCAGGCACTGGGCTGATGATGGAGAAGCAACTATGGCTTCAGAAACAACCCCCACCAAACACTTTTTTATGTATGCTTCTCTGCCGGCGGGGGGAGTGGGTACAGACAAGCAGACCGTGCCACCGAGATGCAAACGCTTTCCAGCTCCCTGTGAGATCCCCAGATCTCTGCCACACGCACCTCCTCTGGGTTGCTGTTTGTTTATGACAGATAAAGCTGTTTCTCAGTAAAGTAAGAGCTGGAGTGCCTGGTTTGCCAGAGGAGGCCAGGCCCAGAGAAGTCTTTCAAAGTGCAAGACAAGTCCCCCTGGCAGCCCTTCCCTGGGGACCCCCATCCAGGGGAGCCTGAGTCGCTCAGCCCCACTGGGGATGGGGGCCGGAGTGGAGGAGGAAGGAGGGACATCCAGTGGGGTGGCATGCGGTGGCTCCCACGGGGACTGGAGTCCAGGAGCAGCTCTGGAAAGATGATTCATTGCTCAAAACCATGGACAAGGTAGGAAGGCTGCGAGATTATTTTTGTTGCTACTGAAGTCACGCTCAAAAATGAAACTCTTGAGAAACATCCCTACAGCAGCATAACCCCACGTGTATGTACCGGTAACTGCATTAAAAGTGCAAAGCCTCTGCTCGCCTGTTTGTGTTTTGTTCATCAAATGGAGCTCTGCCCAGCTGATTTCAACTTGCTTTTCACATTCTCGACGGCCAGGGCTGCTTCAAAATATCTTCAGAAAAACAACGGCCCCTTCCTCTTTTTCATCAGCATGAGACCATTTCTACCCCCTTAAATAGCAGTTCCATTTGAGAAGTGACTCTCAGACAGAAACTGGGGAGTTTCTGTTCCCCGTCGCAGAGCGGCAGCCCTTGCGGAGACACCTCGCTTCGGAGGGGAGTCGTGGTTTCTTTCCAGCTGCCTTTCTGGGGGTCTGCGGAGGTGACCGAGGGACTCGAGATGATCTCTGGCCTGGCTGTGCGGGTGAATTTGCACCTTGGTGCAGCAAGATACATGGGTAACTCCCTTGGGGGAACTTGAACCTGTGGGTTTCACAGACCCTAAGCAAACCCCATTTATATTCAGATTGTGCTCTGAAATGCTGCTGGGACACCGGAATAACCCAGTCTGCAGTGGACGATACACGGAAGAACAGTCTCCAGATGAGCGGATAGTGATCCAGTGACTGGACAGTGTCCAGTCCAGGTGACTGGGTGGACACATAGATGTGTCTGGACATGTTTTTAATCACTGAGGTCAGCAGCGGAGACATACAAAACACATGGAATGGATTTAATATCTGATCTACATCGGCCTTGTAATGCTTTAACTCTAATAGATTAAAGTCTATGGCAACATAGCTCCTTCCTGGAACTTCTCTGGCCACATCCATACCACGGGATAGCAGGCTGGCTTCTAACGAGGCTGGTCACACCAGCACAAGCTCCATGAAAAGCACTGATGTCAAAACACCTGCGATCTTTAGTTCAGGTAACCAAAGTGCTGTTGATAAGACAGGTGGGTGCATGTCTGACGAAATATTTTTTGACCTGTTAGTCCTCCGTCATCCTTTCACAGCAGCGTGCTGTCGGGGAGAGGGCGCGGGACCGCTCTTACGTCCTCCTCTGAGTAAGGCACAGAGTAAACAGTGGAATTAGTAGAATTTCCTTGAAGGAGCTGTTTCCTTGGCATTTGTACCTGCAGCTTAGTCATGCTCCACCAGGAAACCTGGACTTCAATGTTCCATTCGAAACTAAACTGGCAAATGCTACACTTAAATACGACTAAATGATTTTTAGTACTTGCCTCCCCTTGACAAGCTAACCAAAACTCCCTGAAGGCAGCTTTTTCACCCCATCTTTTGGTCATGGGTTTGAAGCTGTATTCTGCTCTGAGCAGATGTCCCTGCTCACTGCAGGGGGGTTGGACTAGATGACCTTTAAAGGTCCCTTCCAACCCAAACTATTCTATGATTCTAAGAAATTAGGCAGGCACTTCGGAAGGAGCAAGACCAGAGCCCTGCTCCTCTGGGTGGTGTTACAACACACCCATCACCACCGCCCCCCCTGCCTTGCCTGCCCTGCAAGGGTTCCTCTCCACAGAGCAAAAAAAGGATCTTCTTCAAATCGCACTACCCTTTCTGCTGCTGTACCTTGTGTTTGCCCCAAACACCACGTCACTTACAGTGACCCACCCCTCTGTCTCGCGCGGTTTATTTTCATACCTACAGCGGGGCAGTCAGATTGGAAATACAGACACGTTTGAAAAATATTCCTCACGTATACAATCAGATCTAACTTTGCTTCTCACTCAGAAAACAAAAACATATCCACCAAAATTAATGGACTAGAATATCCAAATTATGGAGACTTTTTCTTTAAAGCTTCTGTTGATGTCTCAGTTATTGTGTGTTAGCCCAGTTCTGCAGATTCCTGATCTACCCTGCAACTCTCACAGGGAAGGAGAGGGCAAAGAGAGCTGCCACAGGAACAACAGAAATCATTCAGACCCAGAGGTATTTGTGTTGATTAAAATTCTGCAGAAGACTGATTTTCACCCAATTTTAATTTGTACTAAATTTACTTCATGCTATCCCTTAATGTCCAATTTGAAAAGCAGATTCAGTCAAATGGTGAAAAATAATACAAGGGGTTATTTTCCAAAGCAGCTCCTTGGTACAAGCCGCTTCCATCTAATAAAAATAGCACAGTAATGACAGTAATAGGGAGACTATCTAATAAATAGTAATAACTAGTTTCATCTATTGCTCAGGAAAGCTTTCCCACAAATGCCATGGAGAAAACTGTCTCCTTCCATTCTTAAGTCCATAAAATTACTTTTTTCCTCCTTAGCCAGGTCCTCATAGACACAATTAAAGAGGAACTCTGCGAGCAGCTTTGCCTGCCAGCAGTGATGGGGAGAGGCAGTGGGCAGTTGGCAGGGCTCCAAGGCTGATCTTCGATCCTCAGCAGTGCTGCTCTTTCCTAAACACTTGCTTCAAAGAGCACAGGAGAGATTTAAAAAACATCGGGGTAAAAGTGTTTGCAGCACATGGGCCTCTGTTCAAACATCTCTGGCAATGCTGTTTGCTGCTTTCTTGTTGCAGTGACTTACTGCTTCTCCCTGATAACGAAGAAGAAACTAGACTCTTACCAGACAGGAAAAGAAGCTAGAAGATACCTCTGAAGTGTCCTGAAGCTGGTAAAAATCCCAGCCTCGCTCTCCTGTGCTCACAGAATCCTGCAGCACACCTTAGGAGGGAGAGGCTGTCATGAGCTCTGAGCAAGGCGTGTATTTGTTATGCATTTACACATGCTTGGCATATGCTGCTGCCCAGCATTTGTTGCTACAAATTGTAAGGCAAAGGAGATAAATCTATTTGCCTTTCACATGAAAGGCAGCAACACAGAAGGTGGGGCAGCCTGAAGCTTCCTCAGGAAGCTGCCACCCAGGAACTGAGCCACCACGGCAGGCTGAACCCAGAAAACAGCACCAGAGCACTTCGCAGCCCTCAGCGGCAGGATGGGCCTCACCACAGCCACATCTGAG